TAGGGCCTCTTACTGAACAGGGTTAGGGCCTCTTACTGAACAGGGTTGTAGCTGGAGAAGGAGATCAGGCCTCCCCAGGCTAGCCCAAAAGAGTAGAACACCTGGGCGCCTGCATCCAGCCAGGTGTTTGGTTTCACCAGTTCCTCCACCTGCAGGAGGAGAGGGGCTTTAGGAGCCGGGCTGGAGGGGGAAATGCAACTTTATTCTTCATTTATTCAGCATTTCAGACTCACATCTGGAGTGAAGAGGAACTTGATCCCGCTCAGGGAGCCTTTGAGGGTCAGGCCCCGGATGAGGAAGATGGCCAACACGATGTAGGGCAGGATGGCCGTGACGTACACCGCCTGGACCGGAAACAAGGTAGGAGCTCACTGTTAGAACTTAAACTGTTAAAAAATAAACTTCTCAAGTTCACCAAATGCTAAAATGATGGACCCTGTTGTCTGCTCGTCCAATCAAACGCTAATGCTCGGATATTTGCTCTCAACATGTCGTTCAAAGGTTTCTTTGCGTGTTTTTGTCCATAGTTTCATTTTATCTGCAGAGTTTAAATCACTATTTCTTGGGTTTCTGTAATTAACTTCAGAGTAGGTCTGACCTGCTCTGTTTATAAAGCACTGTGAGATAAATGTTGTTGTGATTTGGTGCTATATAAATAAAATTGAATTGAATTGAATTGAACGATTCTAGTTTTCTGACGACCTCCCACTGTGAGCCTGGTTTTTCATGGAGACTGAAGAATGAGAACAGATCGATGGGGGAAGCCCATTTTAACTTCGCCGACATTTATCTAATGTCATGAAGGTAGATTTTCTTATTATATGTCCAATTTATCTAACTTATCTCATTTATGTCTAAGTCTGCTCGGGAAAGCAAGAAACGAAATTTCAATTCTTTGTATGACCAACGCATGTAAAGAAATTGACAATAAAAGCCTACTTGACTTGACTTTGATTTACTGGGACTGTGCTAATTCTAAGCTAAGGCTATTTCTAAGCTAACAGTAAATAAGAATCCCCCACCTTCCCAGAGGTGCTGATTCCTCGTATGCAGCAGATGGCCACCACCGTCCAGGCGGCCAGCAGACACACCACCATGGGCCAGTGAATGCCTCCGGACTCGGCTATGGAGGTGGAGCTGTCCAGGGTCACTCTGTAGAAGTAATAATCCACTGTGGAGCTCCTCTGGCACTCTGATATGAACTCTGAGGGAGATAGACGTGTTAAAAAAGTCAAACACTGGATAGAACTGATATACCGAGAGTTATTGAAAGATACCGAAAAGCACCGAAAGATACCAAAAGATACCAAAAGA